GACTGCACATGTGGTTTCGTTTTTTTATGGGCAGATAATATAAAAAAAGCTTAAATTGATCTCAGCATGACCTCAAACATTGCCTTACACACACACACACACACACACACAATGGCACATATCTGCTTGTTCCCAGATAAGCTCTGTTCAGGATGCTCAGAGCATAAGTCTTTAAGTGAAAGAGTGGGCGTTTTTCGAACAGAATAAACAGTGCTTTTCATGCCAGTGGTATCCATAATGAAACTGGAGGGTGTAATCATCTAATCCGTGTCTTAGCTTAGCCTTGACGTTAACCGGGACATTCTCAAGGCTGTACCTCAAGAAACACCTCGACTGATGCAGGGATGATCGCTCATCCATTCTATTCTGCCCCAAGAAATTTAGCTATCCCAGCATGCACTGGATGGGGTTTGTGAGTGTTGCACAGTGGCCAGCTCATTACAGACATGTCTTGTTTATTGATCAGCAGCAGTGACACACCGAAAACTGCTATTCAGTTAATTGAGCCCTCGCTTTTACACACTATGTCACTCTGGAAGAAAAGAATAGTTAGAAAATGGATGAATTACATTTTGGATGAAAAATAATGCTCTAGACTAGAGCCAGGTGAGAAAACAGATAAGTGTGACTACTTTAGATTTAAAGGGATAGTTCACCCAGAAATGAAATTTACATAATTTGCTCACCCACAGGTCATTAAACTGAATGTTACAACTGTTTTTCCCACATATAATTAAAGTCAATGAGTTCCAAAACAACAATGGATGCCATTGACTTTCAATGTACGGGCAACTGAATTTTTCTTCTTAATATCGTCTCAAAAAAAAAAGAAAAAGAAAAAGGAAAGTCATAAAGATTTGGCATTTCCTAATCTGTCACTCTCACATGTGCGTGTCAAGTGTGTCACGATCAGTTCCGTGCTGTCAAGGCATTATGGAAACACTGACCGCTTCTCACATACTGTTAGTAGCCTCGGATTCTGAATATGCTGGAAAAATTGCTCAAGCAGAAAGGACTCACGTACTGGCACTGACTTCTGAAAGAAGAAAAAGAGAGAAGGAAAAGAGAGACAGGTATTTTCTCATAGCAGGATTATACCATGATTACAGGGGCCATGATGGGGCCTGCTTTTCACATTCATTAGACAGAAAAGAAACCATTGAGGGTAATCATGATTTCACCAACCTCTTGGAAGATGAAGACCACCTTCGTTCAATTAAGCTTTTACCCTGTTACTTGTCGTTATATTATCCTTTTCACTGTCTGTCAGGGACAGCATGTAATCATAGTATGTCCCTGGAAATGGTGCCTAAAGTATTGCTGGTAGTTT